TTTTTTTTTCTGAAGAAGATCATTCAAATACTTGGAAATACGGATATGACTTTAGATTTAAAATGACAATTTTTCAAACATAACACCGTTTTGTCCATTTGTTTTTGTTTGAAAAACTACAGTTTTTGGAGAAAAAAAGTTTGGCAATTTTAGAATGCAGAGCAATTCTACGGCCGAGTAATGCGTTTGCCATATTTGGATGCTGTGTTTCACGAAGCACTTCGTATCTATCCACCAATAACATTGTATGGATTGCGAGTTTTAACAAACATCAGAGACGAAATCTTTTCAATCTTTTTACCGACTGATGAAACTGCATAAAAGCCCAGAGGATTTTTAAGTATTTAATAATCTCAAAATGATTACAGAGCTTAATATTTCAGTTTGGTAAATCGGACCTGCACAAAACGATGCCGTATAGGAGACATAGATTTTTATCCAGGCGTGCAGATTGGCATCCCGGTTTGGAACATCCACCACGATCCTTATATATGGCCTGAGCCAGAACATTTCAAGCCTGAAAGGTTTTGTAAGGCTTTTAGCGAAAGTTCAGTTTTGTATTACCATCACAACAACATTTTTTTCACAGTCAGAATTTTTTTTTCCTTTCACATAAGTAGTGCTGACGAGTTTTCTCGTCAGGCTAGATCAGCATCAAAACTTAAAATTAATATTTAGATGTTAAAAATTTAAAATTATGCTGCTAATTTTTTTAAACTGTAGCCGACAATTAGAAATAGCTCTTTGAAATAAATATTGAAAATGGATTGTATCAAAATTAAATGCAATTAGCGCATAAAATATTTTTATATAAGAATAATGTCGAAAAAGAAACGCTGATCAGCTGAACAGGAATGTTTTAATCGCTTTTTCCTCTTTTTGGCTACATCACTGCTTGAAAGCGGCTGAGTGCTGCACATCACAGCTAGTTCAAGCTCAATTTAGCAGTCAGTCAAAAGGCCTGGAATCAAACAGTCTGTGGTTTTTTTTAAGATTTTATATGCGCAAGGATTATGATCCAATGAGCTGGCTGCCGTTTGGTACAGGACCACGCAACTGTTTTGGAATGCGCTTCGCCACAGCCGAATATAAAACAACGATCGCCAGACTACTACTACAGTTCAAAATAGTGGCTGATCCAGAGGTGACTTTTGTAATTCAAGTGTTTGAAATAAAAATAAACAGCAACGCGCACCAGACTAGCCGATGCGATCATGCGTTTTGTGCAATTCAGCCCATCGAACGATTGCATAATAAATAGCAACGCACACCAGACTAGCCGGTGCGATCATGCGTTTTGTGCAATTCAGCCCATCGAACGATTGCTAACGCGCACCAGACTAGCCGGTGTGATCATGCGTTTTGTGCAATTCAGCCCATCGAACGATTGCCTATTAATGATTTTCACTTGCTTTGTATACTTTAGTATATGCAAAAATAGTCCAAACGTTGGAAAATACTCAAAAATTTCACGCACCAGCGCATGAAAGCTGAATTCGAAACCCTGAAGGGTGGATATCTTCCCGTGATTCCCGAATTAATAGTTTACCCGCCAAAACTTTCACGAGGCCGTAGGTTATACTCCAGAGAGCGGGAACGCTGAATTTGAATCGGCAAGGCTGAGCGTGGGCAGGGGGTTATTACCCTAAAATTTCAGCCTCCTAGACTACGTGGTTCCCGAGATATTAATTTACCTGTAAAAAACTTTCATGGGGCCGTA